CTACTACTACTCCTACTACTACTACTACTACTACTAGTAGCACTAGTACTAGTATTTGGGGCACTAGTAATGATATTACTTTGACGATCACTAAAATTGTTCCTAGTTTGACTGCCCGTGCTGATTTTTTTGAAGTTGAAGAAGACTCCGGGAAAGGTCAGAAACAGGTCAGAAACAGGTCAGAAACACCAAAAAGGCAGCACTTGCCTAGCATCCCATCCATCCATCCATCCATCCATCCATCCATCCATCCACCTCAGCTCTTATCATTGCTACTTCTACTATTACTATTACTACTATTACTACTATTACTACTATTACTACTATTACTACTATTACTTCTACTACGACTACGACGACTACTACTACTACTACTACTACTACTCGTACTATTCGTACTACTTTTACTACTAGTACTGCTAGTAGTACTACTACTACTACTACTACTACTACGACTACTACGACTACTACGACTACTACTACGACTACTACTACTACTACGACTACTACTACTACTACTACTACTACTACTACTACTACTACTACTACTACTACTACTTTCGAGACCAGAACCATGCCAATAATTGACATGGCCGCGCGGATTCCGCGCGCGCGGAATCCGCGCAGATGTTTTCAGGTCAGAAGGACATTCAAGCTAGCTCCAATTGTCAGAAACAGGTCAGAAACAGGTCAGAAACACCAAAAAGGCAGCACTTGCCTAGCATCCCATCCATCCATCCATCCATCCATCCACCTCAGCTCTTATCATTGCTACTAATACTACTACTACTACTACTACTACTACTACTACTACTACTACCTACTACTACTACTACTGCTACTACTACTACTCCTACTACTACTCCTACTCCTACTTCTACTCCTACTCCTACTCCTACTCCAAACGCAACCTCTCTCTCTCTCTCCCTTGCCTATTCCCTCACCCTCCTACCAGAACTCCTACGCCTACTCCTATTCCAATTTCCACTACCACTACTGCTAGTGCTACTGCTACTGCTAGTGCACTGTGAGTTTTCCGGACCGTTTCCGGACCGCACAAGCTTATTTTGCTCCCAAATTTGAAATCGAATGCGTTCACGCATGGATCCTTACTCTCATTACTAGATTTGCTACTACCCCCAGCACTACCACCACACCCGCTGCTACTGCACCACCCTGCACCACCACTACCACCACTACCACTAGTACACCTAGGAATTTCTGCTCTTGCTTTTAAATCCAATTGCACTCGTGTGAAGGGTCAGAAACGAGTCAGAAACCAGTCAGAAACCAGTCAGAAACCCGTCAGAAACCGGCCAAACGCAATCTCTCTCTCTCTCTCCCTTGCCTATTCCCTCACCCTCCCATCAGAACTCCTACGCCTACTCCTATTGCAATTTCCACTACCACTACTGCTAGTGCTACTGCTACTGCTAGTCCTGCTGGTACTACTGTGAGTTTTCCGGACCGTTTCCGGACCGCGCAAGCTTATTTTGCTTCCAAATTTGAAATCGAATGCGTTCACGCATGGATCCTTACTCCCACTACTAGATTTGCTACTACTCTTAGTACTACCACCACACCCGCTGCTACTGCACCACCACTACCACTAGTACACCTAGGAATTTCTGCTCTTGCTTTTAAATCCAATTGACACGAGTTCCGCTGAAGGGTCAGAAACGAGTCAGAAACCAGTCAGAAACCCGTCAGAAACCGGTCAAACGCAACCATCTGTTTCCCCCTCCCTCCCTCTCTCTCTCTCTTTCTCTCTTTCCCTCCCTCTCCCTTTCTTCCCTTGCCCTGCTACTAGAACTCCTTCTCCTATTCCTACTCCTACTCCTACTCTTACCCCTACTACTACTACTACTACTACGACTACTACTACGACTACTACTACGACTACTACTACTACTACTAGTACGAGTACGACTACTACGACTACTACTAGTACTACTAGTACTACTAGTACTACTAGTACTACTAGTACTACTAGTACTACTAGTACTACTAGTACGTACTACTAGTACTACTAGTACTACTAGTACTACTGCTGCTGGTACTACTGTGAGTTTTCCGGACCGTTTCCGGACCGCGCGAGCTTATTTTGTTCCCAAATTTGAAATCGAATGCGTTCACGCATGGATCCTCATTATATAATACATAACTTATATTTTATGTAAATGATCTGATCAACGAAGAACAAACCCTTCCGCGATTGCTCACTGTGGTACCGCGGTTGCTACGCGATTGGCTGAGCGATTGAGGGCTGTCCGGGAAAAGGTATTTTGGACAACCCCCACATGGTGGTAGGGTAGGATGTGAAATTTGAAGTTCTGTCATTCCAGCGCAAACTCCAGGTCAATGTAAATATATATGATAATATATGTAGATCTGGTTGTCGAAGACACTTTTCTTCATCTACTACATATTAAAGTTAGTGTGTTTCTTTAGCATACTACGTTGATATATATATATATTGAATTATTTGGGAAACGCATACATATTATATTTTATAGGATTATATATGTATATATATATGTACATAATATATAATATTCATGTAGGATAGTTTGAAATTACATGCGCTAAGACGTAGTCTATCTATATGCAGTATGTATCAGTTAGACATAGCCTTGGTAATCCCCAAATACGTCGTTTGGCCACAATCGCTACCCACATTTAAAAGAACAAGATTCTCATGCTACATGCGCATCTGGCTTGAAAAGCAAATCATGACCCTTGGCCATTCTCCATCCACCGACCCGATCCGATTTTGAATCCAGTGCACTCTACCACAAAAAGCGTCAGATTTCAAACGTAAAAAAACATGATGTTATTATCTATTAGTTTTTGATAATCACACTGCGTTTTGTAAGTAGTGGTGATGTTGTACAAACACTTCCTTAATATAACGGAATCCGTTTCTGAGTTCACTTGCATTAGACACATTCAAAAGATAGCAAAGGGATTCATCATTACTAACTACTTCCCTTTCTCTACATTATACACCGTCTTCATTATAATCTGCAACCCACTTAGCGCTTTGTCTACTTATCATGGTCAACTTCCCACCACATCGGCTTGAAGAGCAACAGCTTCACTAACATCATCGAAGACGAACGATCGTTGGGACCTATTATTGGTGCCTCTATTCCAATAATCCAAGAATAACATTGGCTATCAACTTGTTTGATGGATTTATCCTCAACAGAATCATCACTGATTAGTTGTCCCCCAAACTCATCAATGATGGCTTTATAATGGCAAGAATGCAAACAGTTTGAACGATTGAGAAATATAGTGAATCGCCTTCTAGAACAAAGGGAAGTGAGTGAATTTGACCGAGCGATCAAAGAACTTGAGGAAAAACAAATATGATTTAGGAGGATTTAGGATTTATTGTGAAATAGTGTCCTAAATTAATGTGTGAACTGTGTTAGTATACCTTTTGAAGTTTTTCTCTGTTCTTCCTTTCTCTATTTCTGATTTACCTAGTTCTTGAAATGTAGCTGGTGTATCCTTTGTTACTCTTTTGGTTGGTCTTTATGCATCTGACTTGTTTCTGTATCCTTCCTTGCCTCTTTAATTGGAGTTCTGCCTTGAACCACCTGTTAAGTACTCGTGTGTTGGACCCCGTTCCTTTGTATGTTCCTCCTCGCTTTTGTATTCCTGAACAAGTAACCCACTTCTGCATTTCAGAGTGTTTTGGATGTTTCCTGTAATTTCACTTCGTTGTAGAGTTTCATACTACCAAGTGATGCATTATAAGTAAAAATTGATTCCTATTATCTAGGAGAACCAGAATATATCAATTTAAAACATAATCAAACATTGAGGGAAATCCAAAGAAAATATCAGATTGATTACTTCCGACATCCAATAAGACAACTTAATAACAGAACAACATTCGATTTGGGCTTTGAAAATATCACCTGTCCATTCAAAAGCAATGAGTATATGGTGTAAAAAAAAGAACCATGCAAAATAATGTCAGATCTTGTGCGCTAAAATAAAGAGGATGCGCCATTTACAACGGTTGTTTGTGCTGGAAAAGTCATTGCTGATACTGATGCAAGTGAGCGGCTTAAGGCATTCTCAGAAAAGAATGAGACAATATATATATACACATATTTTTGAGAACATAAAATATATTTAGCCTATATCATTGCGCATGTGTTCTTTCAGAACAGGTTGATTCATTTGATCTAGATGAGACTGATCGTGGAATACAAGCTTATTTCTTTTGGATATTGCAAAACTATTTAAGGATACTGATAAAGTAATTGCAATCTTATTTTATTCGTGTTTGTTAAAACATGTTAAACATGAATGTAGGCAACCTTGTTTATGCGGGATTTTACCCTTTGTGTTGGGGTAGTGATCATGTTCTCCTTTTTAAAAAGAATAGCCATGGAACCCTCCAAGGTCAACCCTGCCGTGCCAGGTTAGACTCCAAGTGTGAGGCGCTCTCATGCGAGGCCATTTTTTGCCATAAACCTACCATGACTGGAGATGGTTTGAATCCAACTCATGAAAATGGTGATGGCTTAGGGATGGTTTATGACATTGAGGTTGCCAAAAAAAATGGACTGTTTGAATGGAGAAGTTGTTCGTAATTTGCTCAGATGGATGTGTTTTTCCCCAGAATTAGATGCAGGGATTCTGTTCAGGAAATCCCATTGATTCACAGGAAATCCTGTAATGAATCTAATGTTTCCCGTCGACCAGCCCCATGACCTCTGGTAAGCTAACGTAATGGGGAATCCCATTCATCATTGAAACATACAGGAATAGACTCATCTAATCTACGAATCATTATTTTTTCATTTGTGCCAGGTTTGAATGCTCAAGGGTCCCTTTTGGTGATCAAACATATGTTTTTTTATTCAGGCGTATAAGGTTCTAAAGCCTTGCTGCATCTTCCAGTTTCTCGAAATTACAAAAAGGGCAAAACCAAAACATATTTTGCAATCATTCATTCATTCACCGCTTGTAAGGATTTACGTCCTTGCCGCGTCTTGCAGCTAATTGTCAAAAACATGCGCTAATTGAAGACCGTCCAACTTCAACCGCCCTGATAATCAGGTAACCACTTTGAGTCAGCTCTGATTTGGCCACAAAAGGCTTCCGCTTCAGTGACCCATTGTACAAGTTCAGGCGTTGGTGGAACTGTCTCTCTGCATCTACCACTACGATGCCTACTGTGCAATTCATCAATCAACGCTCCAGCGAGGGCCGCACAAAATTGTGAAGGGTATTCCTTCAAGGCGCTGGTTTTGAATTGGCCATCTTCCCCACGCCCTATTGCAACTTTCGTTGGACGGATTGCATCTGGAATCTGTCTACTATACATCGAGCGAGCAAACCTTGGTAAACGCACTGCTAAGAGTCCAGTGGGTTTGACGGTTTCACAGCCCCACTTCCATTGGCTCATGATGTGCAGTTCGACCTCCGGGTGTTGTCGGAGTAGCATCGTCCAGGGCGCAGTCCAGACACTTGCGATCTGCCCATCTTCAGGAGGAGCAGGGTGTTCACTGATGTAGAGACCTCCCGTACAAATCGTCCAGGCAATAGTAATGGTGGTTTGCAGATAGAAATGCGTTCCTTGGCTGAGTTGTCTAAGCTCACGCAGAGTAAGACCTGCCAAGCCGAAAATTCTCTCTGCACTTCGTAGAGGTCTTGGTCCTATAGGCCATTCAGCCTGGTCCGCCTGCACAGGATCCAGGGGCCTATGTCGTGCTGCTGACCATGTTTCACAGGGGGCACCCGCGATGGTTGCTGCGATGCGCCCCTCTTTGTAAAGCAAAAGCAGCTGTGACCAAGTGGTAGACATGATATGTAGGTTACCAAACGTCTCAGAATTGGCAGTGTCCAGTGAAAGCACTAGAACTTGAATATTGGCCTTGGCTGCCCAGCGAATGAGATTCGCATGAACATCTTCGGTCCTCCGTCTGCCACTAAAGAGATGGGCAATCAGAAATATAGGTGTGGAGCTCGGCTGTGCCCAAATGGGGATTTTCTGCTCATTGGGCAAATCAAACCATGCAACTTCACGGAGCTGTCTGAAAAAAATCTGCTGCTCTTCAAACCTTGCAGGAACATGTGCCGCAGTAGTGGCTCGTTCAAAAATGTTGGCCGTACCTCTGCGAATGGACCTATGTGGGAAGTGTCCAGCAATTTCGTTTTCCAGACAATTCAGCTTGGCAAGCAAAAGGGTTCTTTTTTGCATCAGATCAAATCTGGGGAACAAAGCGACAAGCTCGCAAAAGGCATCGTCAACTAGACTTTCGGCACGTCCATCCAAAAAGTCCGCAATGACATCAGGCAAGTCATCTTGTCCCCACTGCATAAACTCAGCCTCAAACCATGCATCATAATGTCCTTCAGGACCCCCAAGCAGCACTATCCATCGATCAGGCAGGGATTCGGCCAGTCTCTCATCATAGCCCTCGTCACAGAAAAGCTGGAACCATTCCTTCGTAGTCTGGCTGAGGGCCGTCCTCAGTTCTTTGGATGCTGTATTTACCTCTGGCGGCAGCTCTGTAACCAGAAGGTCGGTTTGCACACGCTCAAGTTCATGTTGAAGCTGGGAGATCTGAACCCTCCTTCGATCTTCCATATGCATCAAGGGTCCTTGAGCCTGGATGGTCTCAACTCGCGCCAGGCCTTGGACTTCCACAGGTTTCTTCTGGAACTCTTGCCCATCTGGAAGGCCTTGGAAATCAATCTGTTTGAGCTGTTGAAAACATTGGTTAACCCCAGTACGCCGAGGAATATAGGCGAGGTGGAGGTAAAGCCTCTGTTTAGTCCAAAAGAATTTAAGGCAGGCTGGACAAGTGGCACCTGCAAGGAAGGCATGTTCCGGGGCAAATTCATTATGGATCAGCCGGCGGTGACATGACAAACCCTGCTGCGACGTGAAAACCTTGCCACATGAGCATGCAAACTCCTTCAGCGGTTGCTCCAATGAGGTGAATGGTGATGGGTTGAAAGAAGCACCATGATGCATGAGGATCTTGAAAAAGGTCTTGTGAAGGCCAAAGAGACTATTGGTCATACCCTCCTGGAAACGAAATCTTTTCCATGCTCTTTTGACCCTTAATCGCCAGGACCTATTCCCAGCCTGCCAGAAATCAAACACTGCGGTCAAATCCGACAGGTCACTCAGATCTGGGGCAGTGGTAGGCTCAAGGGCGTGCAACCAGGTCAAGTCACTTTTCAAACCTCCCATCCAGGAATCTGCTCTAAGCTCCTCCTCCTTATGCAAAAAATGCTGTAGAAGGGGCGGTCCATGTTCCCAAACCTTCTGAGCATACAGCAATCTATCCAATGCCACCCTGGCTCTCGGGCAGCAGTGTCCAGCCCGATGGAAAACGTCTGCAGCTGTCAGGGTCTCATGTTCCTCTCTACTAAGCCTCAGAACCCTCTTCAACATGAATAGGAGGGCCGCTTGTAGTTTAGCATTCTGTCGAACAGTGAGAGGTGCCCACGCTCCCAAGCCAAAATACAGTTTGGATTCTACCAAGGATCGAAAGAGTTGCAAACGCGTCTTGACTGGTAGATGTCTGTTACAAAGGATCGGAGCTGCAATTTGGGCAAAAGCACTGCGAGCAAGCCCAATTCTGGTCGCAATCTCAAGATCCAAGCTATGTGAGGAGCTGAACATGGTCCCTAAATGTTTGTAGTGCGCAACAAAATGGATGAAAACTTCATTGGATCCCAACTCAATGGTCATGCCAGGCCGGTCGTTCAGTTGGTATTGGCGTCTGAGGTCAGCAGCCCCTGGACCCTTAAAGGTGGCGACCACACTCGTCTTACCTTTATTCAAATTAAGCAAGAAACCTCGACGCCTGAAAACCATGTGAACATGAGCAAGAGCGGCTTCAATAATGGTAGGGATTTGGGAAGCATGTCTTGTTGCCAGCGGAAGTGCCAAATCATCCGCCCACACGATGCATTCCACATCCAAATCTGCTTCTTGCAAAATACTTTGGAAGTCCTCTTGTTCAGTGAACCAAAGATTGATGTCCTTTGCGATGTCTGCCATGAGAATATGGAAAATGCAGTCTGCCAACGGTGACCCTGGCCGAGTGCCTCTCCTTGTCACCAGGAATCTTTCATCCCCTGGTGCCTTCAACCAAGTATCTGTATGCAAGTCTTGTAGCAGCTGTATCAAAAAGGGTGGTGCATTGAGCTGTTGGAGCAAACAAGGCAGCTCAAGCAATTCGGCTACTTCATGTGCAGGCAGGCCTTCAGCTTGCAAGGCTTGTAAGATCTCCTCTGCTTCTCGAGGCAAATGGACACCTGAAACCAGCTCTCTGATCAATCGATGGAATGCATTAGTGAGATCCACAAAGACAATCGCCGATGAGAGACCCTTGGCATCCATAATGCGACCAAACACCTGAAGGAGCTGGGATCCAAACGGAACCTGCATATGCGCGAAACCGCCAATTTGGCATTGCGGCCTTTGCCCATGCAGCCGAACCATGAGCCTTTTCCTAATAAGAGCATGGAATCGCTTGGCAATGGTCGGCAATAACATGATGCCACGATAATTCTCAGCCAAAAAGGTGGATCCCCTTTTGTGGATCACAGCCATCTGACCTCCCTTGGAGGTAAGCGGTTCGCTTTGCCATAGGCACTGTTTCAGCATGAGTGGAAAATAGATCATAGCAAGATCAACCACATTGGCACGGAAAAGCCCTGATGGCAGGGGGTCAAACCCAGTGGATCGGTCAGGACTAGTAATTCGAATAGCATCTTCCAGTTCAATGAGGGATGGCAAGTCACTTATCTGAAATTCACGCTGCACAATTGGCATCTGGATTTGCCGCAAATGGCAGTGATCGACAATTTCATTAGCTGCCTTAGTGGAACCCACCTCAAGTTGACTGAAATACGGGACCCACTGGTCTCGAAGGGCATCAAGCGTGTTGGGGTCTTGTCCTAGTCTCCTAGTGCGGAATTTGGGCAAGTGCCTACGGAGAACTTTCCAGAAATCTTTCACTTGGTGGGGTGCTAAGAAATCTGATGCATCTGCCGCAAGAAGAGCAAAAAACCTCTTATCATCATTGCGGATGGCTCTAGTGACATCCCGACCAAATCGCCGGAAATGACAGAGCGCCGTCGCAATCGCAAAATCTTGTTGGCTGATCAATTCATCAAAACCAGCAACATGAGGAATTGCATCTTGATTCCACTTGCTAAAGCGCCATGCAGCGAAGAAGGCTGCTTGCAAAGAGTGATCTCGGAGTTTCTGATGTTCGTGCAGTGCATTCCTCCATCTTTTCTTGGCACAAATCAATTCCCATGTTGGTTGTGACAATGTTTCCTTCTTCGGTTTGGAGGGTGCACGACGACGACCATTCCTACAAGCCAAAATCTGTTCTTGGATACTAATCGCACTGGTGTGGACATCAACTGTGAAATCATGATGAGCATGCCACGCACATTCAGCAATTCGTGCTGGGCAAAATTCATGGATCAACGGTTTGCCTTTCCAGTATCTCATTTTGCGCTCTTGGTGGTTGGAATTGAGATAAACACTCCATGCCGCCTCAACACAAACAGTTCGGTGATCTTCTTTCTGGAGCGAAAAATCAATTTCCTCAGGTATCCAAGAGATGCAGTTTGTCAGGGTCCAGGAACGGGGCAAACCAATATAGTCATTACGTTTCCATTTGCCGGATTGATGCTGCCAAGTCCCACCCACACCCTGATGGTACTGTTCAAAGGTAGAGGGAAGGAAAACATCAGACCGCACAACAAAATGGGCAAATGGTTCACTTTTTTCATGCATTCCTTCCGCTTGCCAATCTCCAATATGTTCACAAGGTTGACTACCTAATCTGCAGTTGGCATCGGCAAGCAAAACTCGTGGCCAATCGGACAAAGTCTGTGGGAGAGCGGAATCCACATGCTTCCAATATTCCTCAATCTCATGAGTGGCTGCTCCAGTGTGCGGGGCATGTGCTGCAATGACAAGACATCGGAACCCGGGATGTTGAATTTTCACTACAAGCAACCTAGGTTCTGCGACCACAATTGATAAATCTTGTTCCCCAAGCAGCAGCTTGACTGGCTCACACTCACTGGATTCCAGGCATGTTTGAAGGGCAAAGGGAAGGCGTTTCGAGAAACCGATCATAATGCCAAACTGGCCGGCAGCGGTTGCAGCGCTTTTGACAAGAATATACCTGTCATCAACTTGCTTCCGGACTGTACGGATTCTGGTTTCTTGGAGGGCAAAAACATGTACGCCCAAATCATCAAGGCTTTTCAAAATCCATTCCAATCTCGAGGGTCCCTCTGCTCCCAGATCTGGGGCTTTGTTGGTTGGTCCACTACGCAAGGTGAGGATATTGCAAGTAGCCAGTCTGAGTTGGAAATCAATCTTGACTGCCCGGAGAGGAGCATCATCAACATAACTGGTGGGCAGGACTGTCAAATCAGGTTGTATAGTGGGTCGTGCAGGGCAAACCCAGTCAGTACCCTCAAAATGTGTTCCGTCCCACCTTTGAAAAAACATCCAACTCCATTCTAGCGCTTGCACAAAGTCTGCTCGTTGCGTGAATTTGGTAAAATGTTGCCAGTCTTGCAGAGGAGAGCCTTGCGCTGCGCATCCTGCCAGGACATCCACTAGTTCATTACCTGGCTCTCCCTTGTGCCCAGGGCTGAAGACATGCTCACACTCAACTTGAAATCTGGACGTACACAACCGCAAAATACTGCGAGCAAGATGGCATGCATGAATAGCCCGAGTGGATTTCCAAAGTCCTGCAGTCTGTTTACCTACAGACATGGAATCAAAAACCATTGTGCAGTAAGGTCGGGCTCCAAAACAATCATGCTGGATTTTGAGAAGGTCGTATAGGAATTTGAGTCCAAGGAGTGCAGCATTCAATTCAGCTTTGTATGAAGCAAGATCTGCTGCCTCTTCATCCTGACCTGAAACTGCACCAGCAAAATGCCACTGGCCGCAACAATGAACAAAGGCTGCCGCTGCATATCCAATGGCTCCAGTGGTTTTGACAAACGAGCCATCATAGTAGACTCGTATCTCGTCAACCTTCTGTTCAGAAGCAAACCATTCACTAGCATAAATCCACTCAAGGGACAGTGGGTGCCAATGGGCTTTGCCCGCAAGCTGTGTTTGGATGTCAAAGCACGGGAGTACAAAATGTTGATCAAACCAAAGCAGTGCTTCAGCAGCATGCTGCAAATCCAGTCGTAAGTTTCCATAAGGACAGAAAATAGGAGCTGCCGCATTGAGCGGCACATCTGGATCAGCAGAAGTCGTGACTGCAGCTTTCTGAAGCAAGAATTGAGCATCACCTTCAATCGGGTCATCTTGATCCCAAGCAACCAGAGAAGGTCTGTGGATTATGACATTGAACCCATAACCATGCTCGATCAACAAAGGCTGATGAAGGAGTTCCTGACCTCCATACCAAACACTGCAGTGCGCTCGCGGATCATGACTCGGGCTTCCAAATGCCAAATCTGTATGTCGGAAAAGAACATCCCGATCAATAACTGCAGGCACAACTGCCGCTGCTGAAACTGGGGCTCCTTGGTAGAGCGCATTGTCATATCTGGTGATGACAACTCCTCTGCAATCATCAGGGATTTGTTGCATTGCCAAAACATGGATCCTGTCAAGCGGACTAGGTGGTGGCACAGGATGCACAAATGCAAAAATGAAAGGTGCATCAGCATCTATAAGATCTGTCCAGATGTTTCGGATGTCTTCCTCCCAACGGCTAAAATCGTCAGCTAAAGTGACCGATCTTGATTCGTCATGAAATGGTAACGCCCTACCATCCACATACCAAGTAGTGATTTCAAGAGTTCTTTCAAAAGAGGCATGGGCTTGTCGTGCACATTGCAACCAACGCCTATAGAGGTCTTGGAAGAAGGGGGAATAATCCTCAATACAAAAGGACAACTCCGGTACCACCGGTGAAACACTTGCAGGGAAGATCTGGGCAACTCCTCTTGGGTTCCAATGCAATTCATCATTAGAACGCTCCCCAGGAGCTGGGATGATAAGTTTGAGGCCTTCTCCCACAAGGAGGTCTCGCCCCCATGCTCCGGCTTCGCCATGAGCTCCTCTATGCAACGTACAACGACGTCCTCTGCACACACGATCAAGCTTAACAATTTCCACGACATGATCCGGTGAGGCATCCTTTTGGACTACAACAGCCGCATTGCTTGTTCCGTCACGCAATGCCGTGAATTGGAAGCTGATGAGGATAGGGACAAAAATCTCATTCGGCTGCTGGAAGAGAATCATATGACCCATAGTGTGCTCATACGGGTTCGCTGGTGGCGTGGGGTAAACCCATGCAGCATGCACTGGCAGATTCGGATTGATTTTGTCCCTCCATCTCCTCTGGATGGAGTGAATCCAATCTGGGGGGAACCCGCTGAGTCGAACAACCCGTGAGTCTTCACTGGCAATCTCCGCAGTACAATCCAGGTACCAGGTGCGAACATATGCGATGGGCCCTTCCTCAATATCCTCAATGTAATGTGAGTTCCTGAAGTTGTGCAAGAGAAATCTGAACCAAAGTGGCAACCTAGACCCTGGTGGTGAAATCAGGAGGTTCACCATACAAGTATCATTTGCCGGAGGAGGTGGCGACTGTTCTGAATGAGCAGCAGCTGCATCACTATTGGAAGAATAAGACAGCTGCATGACACTCAATTCATCTGCAGAATCATCATCGCGTGCTCCAAACTCCTCCCGGATAGCATCTGATCCAAGTAGGCTAGGCGAGACATCTGAAGCAACCTCACTGCTACTACTACTATCAGGGCTGGAAGGGATGAAATACCTACTCCAAAAGTCCTCAACAGTGAGTTGTCTGCTATCGGCCAGCATTTCTCCAGTCGAGGCATCACATTTCAATGAAGGAGGAAGCATGATTTTGGCATAATCTCCAAAAAGAACACGTTTGGGAGCCGGATCTTGCTTGTGCCACTTCCGATGGTTGTACTCAATGAGACATCTTTCCTTTTCAAACCTGCAATATTCAAAAACTCTGGCTTGTGTGAGCAGGGCCGTTCTAGTTAGGAGAGCCGGTACTGCCACAACCCGCCTCTCTACGATGGGTGCAGTACCATAGTGCGCTTCCATCCATTGTCCATGTGTCTCAACATCAATCAAGATCAAAACATATGCCGTGCCAACTGGGACATCTTGGACCTGTTGGACGATAATCGGAACAATACCTTGAGGGATGTCAGGAAGTCGAACATTTAACTCATGACATTCAAGTACCTGTTCTCGGTCAACAGCATAATGATATGCAATTTCACGAATCATACGTGGCCAGTCGGTCCAATCAAGCATAGCATGGATGGGGTCATCAAACAGATGAAACATGATAACTGCCTGTCGTGCATCATCATCATCAGGAGGATGAATAAAAGGATCCTCACTTCGGGGAGATTCGTCCCCAATGTCTTCTGCCTGGTGTTCATTGGGTTCATCATCCTGGAGTAATTGATTACGCAATTCGGCGTGTCCTCCTTGAGCATTGACATAGGGGTACCACGCTGGGGCCTCTTGGTCATTCAAGGTCAATGGTCTCTTGGACCTGGTAACCTGGCCTTGCATAAACATGATATGATCCGACGAACCTTGTGCGACATGGACAGATGGTGGAATGAGGTGTCCAATATTCAGCTGGAATCCATGACCGTCATACATTTCATGCGTGGGCAGATTGTCAAGCTGCAGTTCATCCCATCGAAACGTAAGGTGGCAAGCAGACGTTGCACAAACCTCTGTTAAATCCGCAGACTCTACAATCTGAAGGCCCGAAACCTGCTCAGGAAGTGTGATAGCAACTGCAAAAGTCCTATGTTGGTCAAACCTAGACTGAGTTACCGTCAAAAATCCTGCATGGAGACCTGGTTCTGTCTCTTGCGCCAGGATGATGTCAACATCAGCCCTACGATGTAGATACTGTCTGTATGGATCAGGCTGGACCACAATCAAGTGGAAAGGAATTCTTCTATCAATCATGTCTCGCCAGGCATTAGAAATTTCATGACTCCACCTAGACCAGTCATGGTCGAGCTCAACAAAACGAGGCACTCTCCACCTCGGAAATGTCTGGTGGTGAAGATACCAAGTTCTTGCAGTGAAACCTTCCATCAAATTGGCCCCTGCCTGAAATCCTATGGCTTCAAATTGCACGAAAATGTCTTGGACGAAATTCGGCACAGGTGGAGTTTCACCAGGTCCATGATGCGTTTGCTGTGGTACATCAGGGTGCCACGACGGACGTGAATGTTCATTTTCATGGTCTGTAATTCTATCTTGCGGACCGGAGATCAACACGGCCTCATTGGACAGCGGATCAGCATCGGCCGCAAATGTAACCTTCTTTGGAACATTGCTTTTCGTGGTCTTCAAAATGGATCCCCAGATGGGCCACTTAGGGAGTGGATCTCGATGGGGCGGCAGAGAACCGTCCAACAGCAGATTGTTTGAAACTTCGTATTGCAAATCAATTGCACGCTTGGTAGAGACAAAAGATGGCATGAAACGTTCCTCCCATCTAATGCTATGGCAAAGAATCAAACACATGGTGGGATGGTCTAAAGATGGTACATTGCTTGCTGCACACCATGCTTCATCCATGGCATAGGCCTCAACAATGGACCCGTCTCTCCAACCACTAGCACATGGCGCATGAAGTGAATTCCGCAGACACTCAGCTTCATCGCCCCTGTTCACATGGAGGCTTCTGTCGCTCCAACTGTGGGCACTACAGGCATAGCTTGATGCCCAAATGGCTCCAATGATCGCTGTCTTTTGGACTTGGGTGCTCCATCCACTCCATCGTCGTCTGAATCCATAATGTCTTGCACATCGCTGGGATTGACTAGGGCTGCTGCTTGCTTCAAGCAATCCTGAACTTGTTTGGTCAGGGCCGCTTCCGTGGCGTCCAGTTCGCCAACTCCCTCCTCCAGCTCTTGGGTCTCTGGAGTTTCGGCTTTGGCACTGGACTGCAATCCCGCGAGCTTGTTGAGCGTCTGCAAATTCCTGCGTGCTGCAGACAATTCCGCCTTTGCTTTGTTGGTTTGCTCTATATATTGTTTCTGCTGTTCTTGAAAGCATTTCATCTGACTTTCCCAAGCTGTAATGGAGTCTTTGAGGTGACGAAGCCATTGTTCCCTGTGCCTGCTTCGTGCTTCCCTCAGCTGATTCAATTGCTTGGTGGCCTTGTTGATCTGCGATGATGTGCGGTGCAGGTCTGCTCCAATCCGTTGTGAATTTGAAGCTTCCTCTTTTTCCACTGCTTCTCTCACCTCGATCGGGGCTTTCGTCATGTCCGGAAACTGCTCTCTCACAGCTATCAATAGGTCGCTTGCAGGTGTTTGGAAGGGACCCGTGGCCGAGCTTCCCAAAGAGGCTGTGCTGGCTTGAGCTCTGATCGCCGTCTGGCCTCCTGCAAAACCAGTGTCTGGCGAAGGCCATGGAGGGATGGCCATGGGGGTCGCAAACGGCGAAGTTTGCTGCTGTTCTTGCCCACCAGCAGCTCCCTTCCCTTTTCCCTTCTTTGAACGCAGGCTTTTGCTGCGTGAGGGTCTCTGCTTTTGTCGGCCCACTGCGGGCGATTCCCATTGATTCCATTGAGAACCCTCTTCCTCTGCATGCCAGGCATAGGCAGGTTGGGTACTGTGTCTCGTACCTGCTGTCCAGTGTCTCTTGCACTGTGGACAGTGCACATGCGTTTTCTTGTTGAGCCTGTTGCATGGACAACGCCATGGATAGGCATCCTCTGCATGATACTGAGCCATTGCACCAGAAATCTTGTGTAAAAAATTTCTGTCTCTGGAGTGATGTACTGTCAATGTCCTCTTGATCCAGCGGAGGTGATCTTTGGTCAGAAGAAGGTTCTTCTTGGTAAAATTGTGCCACAAGGCCCTGGCGACTGCTCTGTGCCTTCGCAGTCTCCTCCTCGTTGTGGCCGTAGACGTAATAGTTGATAAATGCAATTGCAAGCGAATAAATGATATAAAATCCAATTATTCGATGCATCCACCCGTTGCGGAAAGAGGAAAATCAATGCCAGAGAAAAATCAATCCAGCACACAATCCCAGTCCCACAAAATTGCAAATTGAAATATCAAATCCCGATGGATACCAGGGCAAACCAGTTGAGTAGCCAAGGGAAAAATGAATCCAATGTAAAGAAATTCCGGTGTAGGTCACCGCAGAACCAGAAAACAGTGTAGGCCACTGCAGAGCCAGGGAGAAATAACAAGAAATGTAGACCTGGGAAAATCACCAGCAAACAGACTTGTAAATCAATCCCACCAAATATAGAAAGGCCTTGCCCGCGAATAAGAAAAGTTGAGCAGCTGGGAAAATCACCAGATGCAAATCACCAATCCAAATCACAGCAGCAAGTAAGAACCAGGGTTTCCAGGATAACCCTTAACCTTAAGGCCAGTACAGAGAGACTAAGTCTCAGCAGTGATGTCCCGCGGGTTCCAGAGAACCCGCTAAGGCTATGGCGCAAGACCCCCAGGGAAATACGACAAAATCGGGGGGAATTTGAGCCAGCGCCTTATTTCGCAATGGCAAAACAATAAAAACTGTTTTGAATGGGCGATGTTCCAAAAACACATTTAGATTGCGGGTGATGTTCAACTGCGTCGATCCAAACTGGTGGATAATCCCAAATTTCGCAGCCTAGTCGTTGGGTCACGTCCCCAAAACATTATGATGAAGTATATATTACACAATGACCAACCATAGACAGATAGACAGTCTCAAGTTTGGCAACGATCCAAGCAGTGCTAGACGAATGGGGCGATTTCACCCTGCAACTCTTGACCGGTTGTTTTCAATAGCTTTGATTTGGGGCTTTTATGAATTCTTCCACATGAATCATGTTATATGTTCATCACCAATGATTGAATTTCACTCCTCTGACTTTTGGTGTTTGGTGTTGAACCATCCTCCCTTCCACAAGGACCTGGGTCTGTCCAAAAATCCAGCGAAATGCCCCAGTCTCGTCCAGGCAGTCGTGTCCCTTCGAGCGTTGCTACAGCGACGGCAAAGCAGCAAAGAAAGCGGGTTTGGAGACTCAAAGCGGAATGGCTAATGTGATTTTTATACCCTCTGGTTATTTAACATAGCCATGGACAATGACCCAAAGAAATAGATGGTTTACCTATTAAAAATGGTGATTTTCCATGGCTATGTTAAATAACCAGAGGGTATATGTTTATATCCAGCAGTGTTTATCTCCAAGAATGGGAAGGTGATCAACACAACTGATAGCGGTTTCGGAGACCTTCCGTTTTGTCATCCTTGAAATACTTATTTGGCATTTGCGGGTCAGCCGCCAGAGGAGTCAATGAATCCTTCAGCTTTTCGAGTCCTGAATAGGCTGCATGATCCGATGAATACAGTGAGGGGGGTAAAAATTGGTTAAAAGCATAAAGGAGGTGGATAAGCTATGATAAGCTACCATGGACCTACTGGACAGCTTATGGATGAACAGTTGGTGGACATAAGATCCACTGGTGTCGATAAGGGATTCCGTTGGTGGATCCGATCCACTGGTAGGTTGGGCAGCGTACTTCCGCATCTCGTCACCTACTTGGAGGCCAGATCACTATGGTGATGTTTCGACCATGGCTCGGTATACACTAGAATTACACACCGGTAACCAACCATGGCACTTGGAAATCTTCCATAAATAGAGGTTTGAATGGGAAAATCATGGAAATTCCAATTATAAAGTAATATAAATGGGAGATGATCCCATTTCAAGATGGTGAATTGTGTCCCATGTCTGCGGCCGTTGCACCTGCAGGATCTGTCTGCAGCAACAGCCAGAGCCTCTGTGGTATGGATGATCGGGCACTACCAGCAGGAGGCGATGGCTTTTCAAGGAGAGTCTCGACTTGGACTTGATGCTGACTAGGGAATGGGGGAATGGGATTATGAATAATCATATCATATATAACATAAAGTTAATCATGGATCATTAGCCCAATTCCCTACTGAGCACCTTAAAGTGGTCCTTATTTTATCTTTCTGTGTATTTAAATGCCCCATGTTTTTCTCCGGAACAAAGTCGCCGAAAGGTGGCCCGGCTGGCACCGGATGTGCTAAGACGCTTGGCCAAAGGCTTTGCAGCGGAGAAGCAGGAGGCCAGGTCACGCGCCGGCGCCACGATCAAAAATGGGTCCAAAACGGTTTGGTGAACATTCATGTTTTACTGGTCTACCGTCTATATATATATTATATATATATATAATTTATGTTTGTTTACCATCTATATTTTGTTGTTTTTTCTCATGTTCTATCTATTTAGTGAACCATCTATGAACATTGGTGAAGCATTATTTTGCAATATTTTAGACAGATTGGAGGTTCGCAGCCGGTGGCCAGGGTGAATTTTGCCGTGCCACGTTGGCTCAAGTGGATTGCTCCCAGCAAAACCAAAAGGGGTGGGAAGCCATAGCCATGTCTAGCACTCAGCACTTGACTGACAATGATGGCGGAGAAAGAGATGATCAACTGGTTTTTGATCGAAGAATTCGACTATCCATCTATTACCGTTTTTGTGCGTTTTCCTCGGTTCTCATAGGGGATCTGACCTTCAGTTTTTTTGTTTATCCTGCGACGTGTTGCCGCGACGTGTTGATATATTGATGGATTCGTCCTATCCGAGGGACAATAGGTTACTCACCGCTGCAGGACCGTTTTGAAAACCCCTGTTGCTGACAAACAATAATAAATAGCCATATCAATAGGTCAATAGGTATCTTATATCCGCTGAAACTCTTTGCGCTTGCATGGCTCGCCTGGGGTTTTGACTGCAGAGCAGCTGGCTCTTGATTCGTGTGCTTGAAAATAGCACACTTCTGAGGCCAGTGAGAATACTTGACCAGAAGTCCGTGAAGGACAAGTCTGGCAAGTTCACACTGAGTTGGTATGAAACTGGTTTAAAGGTACAAGTTATTTTGAGTGCTTGCTGACTTGCCCTAAGTAGCCAGCCTTGTTACGGTTGAAACTGCAAAAGCATTCAAACCCCCTACAACTTCCAATTTGAATTTTCCAACATGTGGCATGGATTTGACATGTCGCACAGGTGAAACCGCTTCGATCGTCCGAAGCCCCTTTACATGCAGCCAGAAACAAAAGGCTGTGGCAGCAACAAGCTGCGTGGATACTTGGGGAAGTTTCTTTGGTTGGTTGATTGGATTTTTTGTGGTTGTGTTTTGGAGTGGTTTGGATTGGGGCCTGGACTTACGTTTGCTTTTTGGGGCATTTCTGATTCCATAGGTTATGAGCCCAACCCACAAACAACATAAGGGCCGCCGGCCCACAGCCAAAGCCTAGGAATTCGAATCGACCTCGCCGGGAAATCATTGTCAGTGGAGCCAGCTGCTGCTGATGGCCTTCAAAGTGCGCTGGCACCTGCTGCTGATGGAAGCGCTCCAGATGGCGCCGCGCCGCGGCTTCAGCGGCTGCGGATGGCGCTGCGGCTTCAGCGGCTGCGCGCGCCGTAAGTGCGGCTGCGGCGGATGGCACTGAAGCGGCTGCAGATGATGCTGCCGCGGTGAGAGGAGGACAGAAGAAGGTTGAAGAGTTGGCCGCCCCTGGTATAGGACAGGAGATGGTTCTGTCGGGGAAGCACCTGTGAGAGAAGATGTAGCTAGAGGTCAAAAGGAAGAAACCAGCCTAGTTGCTTTCCAAACTCCCGTTTCTCAACGGCCAGTTGAGAACACCCCCTTCACTAGGCAGAATGATGAGAATAGTCAAAAGAATGGAATGGATGACAAGGTCCCACCAGATCCAAGAGGACCACCAGTTTCATATGGACGTCTATCACAGGTTTCTCCGCTACCATCGTTCACTCCTGAGCAGATTCAGCAGTTCAATGGCCCGCGCATGGGATCTTCTTTTCTACCTCTTGGAAGGGATCATGGGCATGGTGGTGAAGTTTCTAGAGTAGAAGGTTTTCTTCAAGGATTTTTTCCAGGGCTTGATCATCTTCAGCAGTTTCATGAACAGCGGCAACGTGAAGCCGAAGGGCGCGCTGGCATGGAATCCATGGTCGAGCAGATGTGACTCCAAGTAAGAGCGTCACAAACAGAGAATCTCAGACTTAGGCATGAACTTAGTCTCGTGAAAAGAGACATGTCTAGGCATGGAAGGCCAGAGGACAAATCAGTGTCAAATGATGGACATCAACAGTTGTCTGCATGTGCTCATATCGTACCTGAAACATGCGGCAGAGCTTCAACAGAGCAGGGTTCTGGGGGTCGTCGAAGCCTCTGGCATCAATCGCGTCTTGAAGTTGTCAAAGGAGCAAGGGGCAGCCGCCCGACAAGACCGAATTAAGGAGAGGAAGGGCCAGCTGGCCGACAAGTGGTTAGTGAGGAGGATGGGACCAGGGTCCAGCAAGAATCCAATGAAGTTCCTTCCAGCCAAGCAATCTGATCAGACGATGTGCTGGCAAGGGATCATCGACATGTATCTGCGTTTGAGGAGTGATGGGTTCACAGTGAACCAAATACATACAGACCAAGGTGGTGAATTCTGCTCAGAGGCGCTGGAAAAATGGTGCTCATCCAGAACCATTCTCCACACATATACACCTGGGGATCAGCGCCAATCGAATGGGCGCGTGGAGGTCAATGGATCAAAGCTGAGATCCGAAGAATACTCCATGCAGCTGGTGCTCCATTTACTCTTTTGCCTCTTGCAGCTCGCAACATCAATGACCGCCTTCGCTTGAAGCAGGTTAGAAAAATCCACAACTGCCAGACTTCATGTCTCCAGTTCTGGTCCGAAAGCGTTTCTGGAGGGCGAGAGAGTTGCTTCCTACGCAGGAGCGTGCACTTTACATTGCACCATCTTGGGTTCATCATGGACACTGGATACAAAGAGAAGATGGAAGCTACTCATTGACAAGGATGGTGATGCACAATCTTGTCGAGCCTCCCAAAGATGAAGACTCGATTGGACTGGAAGATGAATTGGCGCTAACAGAGATCAGAAGAAGAATCAGAGGCAAGGTCACTTTCAACCATCTGGCTTTGACTTCTGAAGAGGTTTCAAAGGAGGATGAGAAGGAAGATGAAGAAGAGAAGGAGGCTCAGGTCAGAAAGATTGGAGCGGTGATTTAAGAAGTACGCGTTGAAGATGATCCGCACACGGCCTATGCCACCTTGGACTCTGTCGTCCAGATCAAAGAGATGACCTGCAGCAATCAAGTGGACGAGGTCCTTCAGACCAAGGTCGTGTCTCAGCATGAAGTGAGGAGAAATTTGGATCAATGGATCCCACCTATCAAGGCTGAGCTGGAGTCGCTTTTCCAAAAGAAGGGAGCAGATCAGTCAAGAAGAAGTTCAAAGGTTGGTTGCCAATGACATGGCGGAGGTCCTGCCCAGCAAGCTGGTTTACACTGCGAAACCCTCAGGGGAATCAAAATCTGGCAAGCGAAAGGCCAGACTGGTGGCCTGCGGAAACTTTGCTGAGCGTTCTGAATCTGACCTTTTTGCTGGGGGTGCAACAGCCGTTGCAGGCCGAGCAGCTGTGGCCATTGCGGCCCAAAAGGCATGGAAGGGCCAAGCCTGCGACATTCGTACAGCCTTCCTCAATGCCCCTATGAAACTAGCAGCTGCTGATGTCCAAGAAGGAGAACAAGCTCCACTACCACGAAAAGCGATTATCAAGCCGCCCCCTTTGCTGATCACCAAACCGGGGGAGCACTGGGAAGTTCTCATGGCCTTGCATGGCTACAAAGGGAGCCCGAAGTTGTGGTCAGACTATCGGGACACAGTTTTGGTTGATCTCAAAATTCCTCTACAAGATGGTGGTCATGCCGTTTTGGATCAGATGATCACTGAGCCTTAATCTCTGGAGGATCCAATGTGCACACCCATCAACTTCTTGGTCTTCTTTTAGTTTACGTTGATGATCTTTTGGTCTTGGGGGAGGAAGAAGCATTGTCCTCCACCACCAAGGCCTGAGGACATCAACGAGGATGCTGGTGTTCGATTTTTGGGCACTGAGCTCTTTTGTCAAGAAGGGCGATGGTGGATGACACAAACCAACTACACCATCGACCTGCTCACCAGAAATCTTGGACCTGAAGTTGATCGATGGTGCCACCGAAAACTGCCAATGTTGGCTGGCCCTGAAACAAGGATCTTCCCACAATTCGAGAAGCACAAAGGGTGGTTGGAGAACTGGTCTGGGTTGCCACAAGAACTCGACCAGATTTGGCATTCACCATCAACCGTTTGGCATCTTTGATCTCCAAAGACCTTCAACAAGTCATCGATTTGACCAAGCAGGTCTGGGGATATCTAGCTGCCACCATTCATCAAGGTCTTTTGTTTGAGAACCCATGTGACAGTTGAACATCTACACCGACGCCAGTTTTGGTGAAGTTTGTGTTGGCTGCTACTTGGTGATGTGGGATTCCTCGATTTTGCTATGGAAGTCTGGAAAACAGTCAGTGGTCACCACTTCAACGGCTGAATCAAAGTTGGTTGAAATTTTGGAGGGTGCACTGGCTGGCGATGCTGTCAGGGTAGTCTTGGAAGAAGCTTGGGATGTGAAAGCGAGGGCTGTGTCATTCACAGACAACACAGCTTCCGTTGCCATCGTCACAGGCGACAGTGGATCATGGAGAGCAAGGCACCTCAAAAAACGTGCCCACATCCTTGAACCAAAGTCTTTCAAGGAGACTGGCTTCTTCCTCATGCACATGCCCGGCAGCGAGCTTCCAGCAGATTTGGGAACAAAAGTTTTGTCATAGGAGAAATTCAAAAGGCTCAAAGTCTTAAAGGGAATGTTTTTGAATGAACATGAGAAAACGAAAGAACAGGAGATTTCAAAGAATGAACAGAAGCCAGAAAAGCACAAGGAAGTCAAAGTAGAAGCTGCGAAGACAGCTTTGAAAGCGACTATCCTTTTTGCCAAATTGGCCCAAGCGAAGGCCGAAGAAAATGTCATTCAGCTGTGGACCGAAAGTTTTCCAGATTCAATTCAATCATTCACAGAGCCAACGAGTGGACTGCCGTTTTGGGTGATCGTCTTCATGATCTTTATTTTTGCTTTGCTCACTGATTCCACTTTGGCATGGATGATGATATATCCATATTTACACCGTGTGACTCTGGTGGAATCA